GCTTTTTTCTTTTTGCTTATGTGGTGCTGAGGAATCGATCCCAGGGCCTCTGGCATGCAAGGCAAGCGCTCTACTACTGAGCCACCTTCCCAGCCCATGCCTGGCTCCTTCTTGAGTTTATACATAAATAATATGCATAAACCTCAGTTTGTCAATTGTAAGAAGGTAATAGTTCTCAGGAAGCCGGGCAACGGTGGCTCACGCCTGTAATCCTAGCTACTCAGGAGGCTGAGATCTGAGGATCGAGGTTCAAAGCCAGCCTGGGCACGAAAGTTCGTGAGACTCTTATCTCCAATAAACCACTCGGAAACCGGAAGTGGCACTGTGGCTCACGCGGTAGAGCACTCGCCTTGAGCTGAAGAGCTGAGGGACAGCACTCAGGCCCAGCGTTCAAGCCCCACGACTGACAAAAAAAAAAAAATAGTTCTCAGGAGGCTGAGTCAGCCCAGGCAGGAAAGTCTGTGAGACTCTTATCTCCAGTAAACCACTAGAAAACTGGAAATAAAAGAAGGTAATAGTCAGTACTCAAATATATGTCAGAAACATAGAACAGTGGCAAGCTTCCAGTGTGGTGGTATATCCTTGTAATCCCAGTACTCAGGATGATTATGAGCTCAAGGCCAGTTTGGGCTACATAGTTAGACCATGTCTCAAATAATTGAGCAGTGGCAAGCAGTAGATTTTATGTAATGATTTTTTTGTTATTTTTATTATCATTATTTTTTATTTCTTTTTACATAAATAGTAACATTCTTCTTCTGTGTGTAAGTGTGCCAGTGCTAGGGCTTGAACTCAGAGCATGGGTGCTGTCCCTGAATTTTTCTTGCTCGTGGTTAGCACTCTACCACTTGAGCCAAAACTCCATTTCTAGCTTTCGTTTAGGGGGTTAATTGGAGATCGGAATCTCACAAATTTTTCTGCCCAGGCTAGATTCAAACTGAGATCCTCTGATGTCAGTCTCCTGAGTAGCTAAGATAACAGGCATGAGCCACTGGCTGTGGGCATTACTACTTCTATTTGTTCTTTCTTTTTTTCTTTTCTTTTTGGCCTAAACTGGGATTTGAACACAGTACCTTACACTTTGCTCATTGGCTGCTGCTCTACCAACTGAGCCACTCCTCCAACCCCAACATTCTCCTTCTGAACTTTGCTTTTTTAGGTAAGTCATTCCTTATCATTCCATAAAGAGCTTGTTTGCTTGCTTACTTTTTTTTATGATACTGGAATTGGAACTCAGGGACTCACACTTTCAAAACATGTATATTATAAACATTTTTGGCATGCACCTCCCTTCTCCAATCTCTGCATTCTTGACAATACTCCTTTTGGTCTCATGAAGTTTTTGTCTGTATGTGTGCTGGTAGTGGGGCTTGACTCACAGCCTTGAGCACTTGCTTGGCTTTTTCAGTTTACACTTGTTGCTCAACCCTTTAGGCACACTTCCACTTCTGTCTCATTGTTGCTGCTTAATTGGAGAAAAGATACTCTGGCCTTTCTGCCTAGGCTAACTTCAAACCATTTTCCTCAAATCTCAGCCTCTCTCCTAAGTAGTTAGGGTTACAGGTGTGAGCAGTATGTCTTTGTATTGACCATTGCTTTATCTCCTTTGGGTAAATATGTTGAAGTAAAATGGCTGGGTCTTACGGTAGGTATATATTATGTATTATATAACTTTAGGAAAAACTACCAGAGGCTATGGATGTTGATTAGTGTTAGAGTGCTTGCTTATTAGTATACGTGAGGCTCTGGGTTCCAGCCCAGCACCAAATAAATATCTCTACCAAAATATTGCTAGTAGCTCATTCCTGTAATCCTAGCTACTCAGGAGTTTGAGATCTGAGGATCACGGTTCAAAGCCAGCCCAGGCAGGAAAGTCCCTGACTCTTATCTCCAGTTAACTACCAGAAAACCAGAAGTGGCACTGTGGCTTAAGTGGTAGAGCACTGGCTTTGAGCTGAAGGGCTCAGGGTCAGTGCCCATGCCCAGAGTTCAAGCCCTACAACTGACAAAAAATATGCTGGAAGTGAAGCTATGGCTTCACAGTATCTGAATTCAAGCCTTAGGACTGGCACACACAAAAATGGTATGCTGTGTTATATTTCTATCACCAGAACTGGATAATTCTGGTTCCTCAATATCTGCATCAAAATTTGGTATATTCGGGTGGCAAGTTTTAGTCATTTTAATGGATGTAAGTGATTTGTTTTCTTTAGTGTTCTAATGGAAGTTTGAGCCCTTCTGTATGTTCATTGACCATATTGGAATCCTCTTTTGTGAAGAATCTATTATCTCTCTCTCTTTTTTTAACTGAGCTACATCCCCTATACTAGGTGATCTTTTTCTACTTCTTTTTTTGAAATTTATTCTTTTCTATTGTAAAGGTAATGTACAGAGGGGTTATAGTTACATATGTCAGATAATGAATACATTTCATTTTGACCAGTGTCACCCCCTCCCTCATTTTTGCCCAGTGTTTTTTGGTTCCAGTCCTGGGGCTTGAACTCAGGGCCTGGGTACTGTACCTGAGCTGCTTTTGCTCAAGGCTAGCAATCTACCACTTGAGACACAGTGCTACTTCCAGCTTTTTCTGTTTATGTAGTACTAAGGAATCGAACCCAGGGCTTCATGCATGCTAGGCAAGCACTCTACCACTAAGCCACATTCCCAGCCCTTGCCCAGTTTTCCGTCCCTCCACCCTCCCCCTCTCCCTCTCCCTTTCCCTTTTTCTTATTTTCTGCTTACTCTTTTTTTTTTTTTGGTCATGGGCCTAGGTGCTCTTGAGCCTTGAGCTCATGGGCCTTGAGCTCTTCAGCTCGAGGTAAACACTCTACCACTTGAGCCACAGTGCCAGTTCTGGTTTTCTGAGTGGTTTCGTGGAAATAAGAGTCTCATGGACTTTTCTGCCTGGGCTGGCTTTGAACCATGATCCTCAGATCTTAGCCTCCTGAGTAACTAGGATTATAGGCATGAGCCACCAGCGCCTGGCTCTGCTTACTTTTTATTCACTCATCTGTTCATCTGTATCTTCTCCCTCCTCCATTTTCTTTTTTTTCCTCCAAATTTGCTTTATATAATTGGATGAATATAAATTAATGAACAGAAACTTAAGCAAGATACATGTAACAATTTAACAGAACCTGATAAATGAAATTCTTTCATTGTTTTTTCAGACTCATCTTTAAGTCTTTACATCATGGGGCTCATATGGAAATTAACATATGGACATTACAGTTGAATGCCAAATTAACTAATTATGACATATTAAATTCTTCTATAATGCAATCATGAAGACCCTTCACACCACTTGTGTTTTGTATGTAGAAAAGTGTTAGAATCACAAATTCAACTCAAAAAAATAATAAGAAATATTGACTTGTTATCTGGAGACTGCTTCTCCTTTCAATAATGATTTTTAGTTGTAACATCAATGAGCTGAACAAATAAGTCACCTTTTGAGAACATAAGGAAAAATAAACACATGCAAAATGGATAAAACACACTACTACATCTTTACTAGGCCATCTCTACTTCTAATACTTCAGAAACTTAGAGATTTAGCATACTCTTCCTCCATTTTCTTTTACCCCCTCATTGCCTGTTTTATGCACTTCACTATCTATACATACCTCCTTTTATGCTTTCTGCTATTGTGGTGGGTGTGGGGTTTTGGTCGGTGTGTGTGTGTGTGTGTGTGTGTGTGTGTGTGTTTCTAACTAGGTTTTAACTAGGCCTCATGCTATTACTTCACTGTTTTGCTCAAAGTTGGTGCTCTACCACTTGAGCCACAGCGCCACTTCTGGTTTTCTGGTGGTTAATTGGAGATCAGTCACATGGACTTTCCTGCTGGGGCTGGCTTTGAACCATGATCCTCAAATCTCAGCCTCCTGAGTAGCTAGGATTACAGGCATGAGTACTTAGAATCCAAACTGCTACTCCCTTTTCACAGCTGAGGGAACTGAGGCATAAGTATGTTATGAAGTCTGTCTTACTGGGGCACTCACAAATGTGAATCTCTATTTTTGCCTTTTCTCATATCTTTCTGTTTCCTTTTAGGGAAAGAGTATTCCAAGGGAGACAGCCGTTACATCATGTAAGTGTTTACTTCTTTTTTTTTTTTTTCATTGTGAAGGAAAAATCATGGTTTCATTTATTTTTATGAGACAGATTATGTGACACCTGCACTAATTTGTGGTGAGTCAGGGAGCACTAATGGGGTGCCCTGAAGACAAAGCACACTGAGACCAATGTCCCTCCATCCTTTCTCTTAACAGTTGTGACAACTTTATCGTCTGTATGGAGACCATCACAGCTAGCATGTGGGGACCACTCAGCCTGTGGGTAGTGATTGCCTTTCTCCGCCAACAACCAGTTCGTTATGTTCTACAGCTCATAGTCTCTCTGGGTGAGGAAAAGATCACACTGGGCACTAGAGGGCTTGAAGGTGGGATCCACAGACACAGGAATATCCCTGTGGAGATTATTATCCAGGGATAAGTTTGACTGAATGCCAAAAATATCCTGAGGTTTGAGTAGAACAACCCAGCCATGCTCTGAGCTTATCTATCCAGCAAGGGGACTGGTGGCTCAAGCCTGTAATTCTACTACTCAGGAGGATTAGATCTGAGGATCATGGTTCAAAGCCAGCCCAGGAAGGAAAGTACATGACTCTTATCTCCAATTAACCACCAAAAAGCCAGAAATAGAGCTGTGGCTCAAGTAGTAGAGCGATAGACAGCCTTGAGCAAAAGCATTCAGGGATCCAGGCCTTGAGTTTCAACTCCAAGACTGGCACCAAAAATTTTTTCTTTAATTTCTGGAGCTATGAAGTGTTCCTAAATTCAGAATGTTTCCACGCTATTTTTTTTAATCTCACTTTCCTGATTTCTCGGATTTTCAGCTCTGATTTCAGAGTTCTTTGAGTGTGAGATCCTGAGCTTTGAGACCTTGAAATAGAGAATTTGGGTTAGCCCTTCCTTCTCCTCATGGGGGCTTCTCCTTCCTCTTCCCTCCCACAGGCCAGATCTATGGAGATGTTCTGTACTTCCTGACAGAATATCGAGATGAATTCCAGCATTCGGAGATGGGCCACCCAGTCTATTTCTGGTTTTATTTTGTCTTCATGAATGCCTTATGGCTGGTGATACCTGGAATCCTCTTGCTCGATTCTGTGAAGCAGCTTAGTCATGTTCAGAGTATGTTGGACTCCAGAGTCACAAAAGCCAAGAGGAAGTTAAACTAACGACCAGTGGACTGAACTGGAGGACTTCGTGAAGACGCACTCTCCATTTGCCAGAAGAATCTAAACCTGATCTCACATGTTGGAGGAACAAAGCGAACTGATCTCTCATATTCAGGCCAGTAACCAAAAAATTAAGGGCTATATTGGAAGTATTGTCAGGGGCAATTGGGAAAAAGAATCTTTACAACCAGTTAATAAAAGCTCTTCAATCTAACATAGAGTGACTTTTAATTATGAATCCAAAGATGCCCTGTCATTAATCCCCACAGACCCTTCCCACCTATCACTAACTCATCCACAGATCCAAATCATCATCATAGACCTCCCATCTCTAACCTCACCAACTCCTAGCACTGACCCCATACACGCCTATTATTTTCCCCTACAGATCCCATAATTTACTACCTAGATTCCCCCTTTAAGACCATTCCATCGTTCCCACCATAGACCCATCATTGATCCCATGGTTCACTTGTATTAGTCAGCTTGGGCTGCCATAACAAAAAGCCTAAGACTAAGCCAGCGCTGGTGACTTACGCCTATAATCCTAGCTACTCAGGAGGCTGAGATCTGAGGATCAGTTCAAAGCCAGCCCGGGCAGGAAAGTCTGTGAGACTTTTTTTTTTGTCGGTCGTGGGGCTTGAACTCTGGGCCTGGGCACTGTCCCTCAGCTCTTCAGCTCAAGGCGAGCGCTCTACCACTTGAGCTACAGCGCCACTTCCAATTTTCTGGTGGTTTATTGGAGATAGGAGTCTCAGGGTCTCTCCTGCCCTGGCTGGCTTTGAACCTCGATCCTCAGATCTCAGCCTCCTGAGTAGCTAGGATTACAGGTGTGAGCCACCAGCACCCGGCTCTGTGAGACTCTTATCTCCAATAAACCACTAGAAAACCAGAAGTGGCGCTGTGGCTCAAGCAGTAGAGCTGAAGCGCTGAGGGACAGCGCCTAAGCCCAGAGTTCAAGCCCCATGACCTACCAAAAAAAAAAAAAAAAGCCTAAGACTGATTGGCTTAAGCCACAGAAAGAAAGGTTCTCAGAAGCTATTCAAGGTATTAGCCAGTTTGGTTTTTTTCTTTTTTCTTTTTGCTAGTCCTGGGGCTAGAACTCAGCTGTCTCATGGGTATTCCTTCCTGAGCTGGCTTTGAACCATAACCCTCAGATCTGAGAAGACAGAATTAAAGGCATGTGTTTGGTTTCTTTGAGGCCTGTTTTTTGGCTTTTAGGTAACTTCCTTTTCAGTGTTCTCACATGGTCTTTCCTCTGTACACTTCATTTCTAGTATGTTTGTATCCAAATTTCTTCTCAGAATACCAGTTAACCAAGTACTGACAGCTTGCATCTATAATCCTAGCTCTTCAAGAGATCCTGAAGATCATGGAGTTTTCAAAACAAATTTGTGGAGGAAACAAAATAGTCCATAACATTCTGCCATCTGGTCTCCCCAAATTCATATCCTTTTTTGTGTGCCAGTCCTGGGGCTTGAACTCAGGGCCTGGGAGCTGTCCCTGAGTTTTGCTCAAGGATAGTTCCACTTCTAGCTTTTTGGTGGTTAATTGGAGGTTAGGGTCTCACAGACTTTCCTGCCTGGGCTACTTTGAACCCCAATTTTTATATCTCAACCTCCATAGTAGTAGGGAATTTAGGCATAAGTCACCGGTGCTCACTACATAACCTTCTTTTTTTTTGGGGGGGGGTCCGGTTATGGGACCAGAACTCTGGGCCTGGGCACTGTCCCTCAGCTCTTCAGCTCAAGGCTAGCGCTCTACCACTTGAGCCACAGCGCCACTTCCGGCTTTTTTTCTTTTTGCTTATGTGGTGCTGAGGAATCGAACCCAGGGCCTCATGCATTGCAAGGCAAGCACTCTACCACTGAGCCACCTTCCCAGCCCTTCAAAAGTTTTTTTTATTGTTATTATAAAGGTGATGTACAGCCGGGCACTGGTGACTCACGCCTGTAATCCTAGCTACTCAGGAGGCTGAGATCTGAGGATCGAGGTTCAAAGCCTGCCTGGACAGGAAAGACCGTGAGACTCCTATCTCCAATAAACCACCAGAAAACCGGAAGTGGCACTGTAGCTCAAGTGGTAGAGTGCTCACCTTGAGCTGAAGAGCTGAGGGACAGCTCCCAGGCCCAGAGTTCAAGCCCCCCACCCAACCAAAAAAAAAAAAAAAGAAGGTGATGTACAGAGGGGTTACAGTTATATAAGTCAGGTAATGAGTGCAATTTCTTTTTAAACAATTTCACCCCTTCCCTCGCTCTCTCCCAGTTTTTCCCTCCCATCCCCACACACAAGTTGTAAAGTTCATTTTCAACATACTGTCTAGTGAATGTCACTGCTGTATTTGCTTACCCTTTGTCCCTCCATTTCTGTACTCCCCATTGCCCTCTCAAAAATAGATAAATGAACAAACAAGACAAAAGGAAAAAACAAAAACAGGAATGAAGGAAAAAAAAAAACCTTTTGTTTCTGTTTCCTGTCTAAATCACTTCTTGAGAATCTCAAACTTGCAACTATGCATGACCCATAACATATTTATCATAAACCATTCTTTTCATCTATGCCTATTTTACCTGATAAGGTTTAGAGACAGCACATGATGAAGAATTTTGTCTAGAGGTGTCAAAATCAGCACATAAACTCTACAACCACTATAGTGACCCTTGTCTATAACGCAGCTGCATGACCTCCTGTCTAAACCCTGGGCAAATTTATGATCAATGTCCTGGTTATATTTAGGTCCTCAGTCAGGGGACTTTTTTCTTTTTTTAATAATTTTTATTGTGATTAAGTAATTACATAAATTTCACAGTATTGTGATAGTGATAGTTAAAGTCACAAACACATTCTAACCTTCATGAGGCAAATTGTCATGATCATGATCTATAAAGTTTGTGAATTCTATGAGCTTTGACAATACAACTACTTCTTCCACATGGGATGGTATGTACATTTCTTTCCTTTTGCTTAGTGTCAGCTGTTCCCTCTTTCCCTTATTCCCTCCCTCCCATCGCTGCCCTTGAGTTGCTTAGTTTGTTTTCATCAATGTCCAGTGCAGCTGATGGGCCCTCTGTTGTATGTTTCCTTCTGTTTCCTCTGATTCTGTGTCCTCCTCCTAGCTTCCCTCAGATATGCATATATATATATATGTGTGTGTGTGTGTGTGTGTGTGTGTGTGTGTGTGTATGTATATGTATATATGTATATATGTATATGTATCTATACACACACACATATATACATGTATCATGTATCATATATGTGGTCAACACATGGGATCATTTAGTAATAAAACGACAAGATGAGTGGAGGTCCTGTGTTTCTCAAGTACTGTTTACTTTGTCATATCTCTTTGCATTTTGAATTTAACATCCACATATCAGGGAGACCATTTGCTATTTGTGTCTGCTCTTGGCTTACCTCACTCAAAATTATTTTTTCTAGTTCCATCCATTTCCCTACGAATGCCATTATTTTGTCCTTTTTTTTTTTTTGTCGGTCATGGGCCTCGAACTCTGGGCTTGGGCACTGTCCCTGGGCTCTTCAGCTCAAGGTGAGCATTCTACCACTTGAGCCACAGCACCACTTCTGGTTTTCTAGTGGTTTATTGGAGAAAAGAGTCTCACGGACTTTCGTGCCCAGGCTGGCTTTGAACTGCGATCCTCAGATCTCAGCCTCCTGAGTAGCTAGGATTACAGGTGTGAACCACTGGCACACGATTTTTTTTATCCTTTCTAATGGCTGCATAATATTCCATTGAGGGCCAGGCGCTGGTGGCTCACGCCTGTAATCCTAGCTACTTAGGAGGCTGAGATCTGAGGATCACAGTTCAAAGCCAGCCCGGGCAGGAGAGACCATGAGACTCCTATCTCCAATAAACCACCAGAAAACCGGAAGTGGCGCTATAGCTCAAGTGGTAGAGCGCTCGCCTTGAGCTGAAGAGCTGAGGGACA